CCGATAAAAAAAAAACACGGGTCCCTTAGATTTTAGTCCTCTATAACATATTTAAAAATGAACAAAATCGGAGGGGGACACCTCAGGTACCTTCCTTGTAAGTCCCTCTCTGGAAATTTGTCTCCGATATTTCGAAAGTCGCGATGAATTTAAAAATACATTACTCTCGCGCACGGAACAGGAGGCTCCATCCTCCCGATCACGGCATCGCGACGACTCGCGCGATCCCGGGGAGAAAATTTGAGGCGACCGAAGCGCGCGTCGCGACGCACCGCACCGCTCGCCGGGGCTGACACTTTCCGATCTGAATGCCGAGCCGATGAAAAGTCCCCGCGACTTTGGGGGTCGAGCCTGCTTCTTGGAGGGCGCATTTGCATCCACGAGCCCGGAATGGAGGCTCGCGCCCTCGCATAGGGCCGATCGCGATCCGGGAATTAATTCCATATTCCCCTCGGCGTAGCCAACCGGACCGGCCGTCAATGCTCGCCCTAACCCCGGGACGCGGCGACTTTCACGCGGATCTGAAAACTCTTTCAGCGGAGCCGCAATTTGCGGAGACGCCCGCCGCGTCGCGGCGCCGCCGCCGGGGATCGCGGCCGCGGTAATCGCTGGGGCGAAACCGCGAGTTCCTCCCCTCGGCTTCGGCTTTTTTATTCGAGCCCCGTAGGCGCACCCTTGCTTTCCTCGGGGTGACAAGGCGTGGGCTGAACCTCGCTCCTGTCCGATCTCTGACTTCAGGGTCTACTGTGTTTCTTAACGCGCGTTAAGGTGAAGTGAAAGCCCCTTTAAATCAGTCGATTCGAATATAACACTTTTTTTTAAGGGTATTAGACCAAACTGTCCGAAACTTTGACACATCACTCCTGATCATCTAAGAGTTGTCCTGACACATTCAACATTTGGATTCTTTTTTTAATTGTTTAACTCAGCCCAGACCAGAACCAAAATGGCGTCGAGCTCTCATATTTCGATCAATATACAATTATCGAAGGCTCTGATATGAGAATAGAAAGAGTTAGGACAATTTTACGACAATTTAGAACACTCTGGTAATCGATAAACTCGCATTTGAACGGGATAAAGGGAAAAAAAGTGTTGTATGCGCTTCTATGCCAAAACGATGGTAATACAAGGTCTCGGAGTGAACATTTAATTGACGTGAAAATCACAGATGGCGCAGCGGGTCCCTCTGCAGTCAATTAGGTCCCCAGAAAGCATGAATTCGGGGGATTTCTGGAGTTTTACTTCAATTTCTTTATAATTATCGTACGAAAATGACAGGTAGAGTACGCCATTTGGTACAATACCCAATATAATTCGACCGGGCTGTCAATATTAAAACGAACGTCGGCAACGTAGGCATTTAGAAAAATCTTCTTTATCAACGTTGATCAAGTTCGTCGACGTGTTTCACTTCACCTTAAGGTGATATGAAAGAGTCAGCCTATATATATATATATGCGAATTTACTCGTTACTTTTGATTTTCTCTGTAGGAACTGTCATATTGCTTCAAAGTATTAACTTTTTTTAATATAGCGATTAGTGTTTTCAAGGTTCACTTTTAATCTTTGATAATGTGTACATTGTATACAACATACACTTTAAAGAATTGGATTCAAATAATTTTTTAATGTTAGTTTAAAACAATTTTAATATGGTTTCAGTTACAATATCTATAAATGCGATTTCATAGATCTTAATATTTAAAACAATATTTTTTAACTTTACTATTTAATTAGAGATATTTTTTTCGCAACAGAAAATTAGATATTATTTACTTGATGTTTTCTACAAGGTTTTGATGGTGAAACTACTTTTTTGGGTCAAATTTAACTACATTTAGGTTGCTTCAGAAAACCTGCATTTTTGTTAACGCATTCGCGACCGGCAAATTTTTTCCGTTTCAAATACTGAGTACCGGCGAAAATCATGAAATTCTGAAACTGGTTGCCGCAAACTTGTATCGTGTATCGTTATGGACGTGATTCGCGCCAGCGACAATCAGGAATAGAATTTAAAATGACGTGAATTCACGTCAGCGGCAACCAGGAATAGAATTTAAAATGACGTGAATTCACGTCAGCGGCAATCAGGAATAGAATTTAAAATGACGTGAATTCACGTCAGCGGCAACCAGGAATAGAACTTGAAAAGACGTGAATTTACGTCAGCGGTCACGAATGTGTTAAGACTGGTCAAGAATTTGAGGCGAAGATCTGTATCATTTGAGAACCAAGGACTACGGTTGCCATACTGAAAAGATTATACTGGTTATACGTTAAACATAGCGTTACGTTAAAAAAAGTCGCTGAAGTGATTCAAATGTGCTTTTCCTCTGGAAGCATTACCAACATGTTAATATTTCAGCATTTATCCAAATTAATGCAAGCATCCTTCCTACATTTTACTCTTAACTTGAAACTGACAAATAATTTGTTAACAAAAAATCGGCATTCAATAAAAAAAAAACTTGTATTCATATTCCTTAGCAATTAAAAAAGAAAATCGCATTATAATCTGTCACAGGATATACGTTAAAATCATTATAGTTCAGTTTTTATACTAATTCTCAAGTCATCTTTCTTAAACATTTCTTGCCACTTAAAAACAGATTGCACACCACAACCTACCAGACAGCATACATTAAAACTGTTATATTATGTTTATAAAAATTCTCGCGTTATTTCTAGCAGCAGCGTACTATTTCTCTCTTCTATCTTAATATTCTTTCTTAATTATTAATCTTAATATTTCTTGCCACTTAAATACAGATTACACCACAACCTACCAGACAGCATACACTAAAATCGTTATATTATGTTTATAAAAATTCTCGCGTTATTTATTGCAGCAGCGTACTGTTTCTCTCTTCTATCTTAATATTCTTTTTTAATTATTAATCTTCTTTCTCAATATTTCTTGCCACTTAAAAACAGATTGCACCACACCCTACCAGACAGTATACATTAAAACCGTTATATTATGTTTATAAAAATTCTCGCGTTATTTCTAGCAGCAGCGTCCTATTTCTCTCTTCTTTCTTAATCTTTCTTGCCACTTAAAAACAGATTACACACCACAACCTACCAGACAGCATACATTAAAACCGTTATATTATGTTTATAAAAATTCTCGCGTTATTTATTGCAGCAGCGTACTGTTTCTCTCTTCTATCTTAATATTCATTCTTAATTATTAATCTTCTTTCTCAATATTTCTTGCCACTTAAAAACAGATTACACCCCACAGCCTACCAGAGAGCATACATTACAACCCTTATATTATCTTCATAAAAATTCCCGCGTTATTTCTTGCGGCAGCGTACAATATCTCCGATACGGATACCCGCTCGTCAAATTTTAAAACACTACTTCGGGGTAATTTTCAAGAACAGCGCGAAAGTAAGATGTCGGGGAAATGAGGCGGTAAAGGGTCCCCTTCTGGCTCTCTAAAATTTGCATTGTCCGGTGGTACCCATCTTTTCTCGCGGTACGGCTACGAGCGTACTTTTGGACGCGGATAAAAAAGGCTGCATAAATAACGGTTGACCATAAAGTCCGTATGGGCCTGTATATTGCATGTATAAGGCGCGGCCAAGTATACGAGAGTCGTGCACGTGCCATAGGAGGATTCGCCGTATAAACCGAGGCCACCCTAAAGTGGCCAATCGTCGTACAGTGGGAGGAAATGTAGGGGCGCAACGTGACATTTCGCGTGAACGAACCGGTACGTCGGCGATATTTCATTCCAGGCATTCAATTTCCGGACGGGCTCGTTTCCACGGGAGTTTCGCGCGACCGCGCGACGAATGCGCCTTAAGGCCCCTTGATAGCGACCCGACCGGTGACATCGATACTTAACTACTCGCTTACGATTTACAACATATCCCGCGTCATACTTTCAATGACGAGCTATTTGAATTCCTAAGGTAATAACCAACCGAACCGACAAAAAATCAGGATTTACGCGCGGTTCTATTTCCGATCGGATTTTTCAACATTTCTGCCTTATCGATTGGACCTTGGACCCTTAGTTTATTGATCCCTTACCTACCGCGAGTGTAATATATTTTAATTAAGTATTCGGCATGGTCACTTACCACCACTCAGCCTATCAATCAAATTTTTATCGACATTTTTCCCGCAGCGGTTTTTTCGCGTATTTACGCATTTAACTCGGAAGAGGTTGATAAAGGATTAAGTGAGTCAATTTGGAAATTTTAGTTTATGTCATCTTTAGCTGGTTAATTCTACCGTTCTTTAAGGTGATACGAAAGGCTCACTCTATATATAAAAATGTGAAAATATTTATAAAACTTTTCTCCAGACTGGGTGCACCGAATCATTTGAAACTTCAGCACGTGATTAGGAAGGCCCTAAGGAAGAATGTGATGCTCATGAAATTTCATTTATATATATATAAAAGATTCTTTAATTAGCTTAAACTAGAACCAAGATCACATTTTTTGTGAAAAATCAAATTTCACGAGCATCGCATTCTTCCTTAAGGCCTCCGTAATCACGTGGTGAAGTTTCAAATGGTTCGGTGCATCTAGTTTTGAGAAAAGTATTATAAACATTTTGACGTTATATATATCAAACGTCAAAAAATATATATATTTATATATATCGAATGATCTTTTCATATCCCCTTAAAGGTACCGTCTCGTTACATGTTCCCAGAGGTACATCGGTACCTAACGTTAGAGTTTAAGGGTTAAGTAGATTAGCTTAAACCTGATCAAGTAATTTTTTCTCGACCCGGAAGAATATTTTGAACAAACGGGCAATGAAATGATTCCCTCTACCGAGATAAATCCGCTTTAGTTGACCGAAAGCGGTACTTACTGGGTTGGGTACCCGAGTCGTTGAACGACGTAAAGGGAGAGGTCTCAAAAAAGACTTAGAAGGGCCCTCGAAACCTGTCCATCCTCCCCTCCTTCCCACCGGTCGGTAACGATCGGTCGCAAAAACGCAAAAAGTAGGTGGAGTGTCTTACCATAACGTAATGCCTCTGCATCTCAGTCTTTTCGCTCGCCAGCTTCTCGCACTCGAGTTTCAGCCTGAAAGAGAATAGTAACGCGGGTAAAGGCGAGATAGAGGGAGAGCCCTCCTCTTCTTCGGCGCATCCCTTGCCCCTTTCCGTCCCTTCCACGAGCCGCGATGCATCTCCTATAATATTTTCAGCGTTTCGAAATTCGAACGCGAGAGCTTTTCGCGTGCGATCGCTCGTGGAAGGACGCGAAAGGACGCGAAAGGGGAGCACCGGGCGGAAGAGGTTAGGTGGAGGTGCGAGTCGCGGAAGGAAACGCGCAAAAGGAAACGGCAGAGGGGCCACGGGGAAAGTCGGCGTCAATAAGGAGAATCCGGGGAGGGAGAGGAAGAGAGGAGAGAGACCCGCCCTAGTATGAGTACGTATAAATACTCACGTGTGGTACTGTTGCTGGATGAAATTGAATTCTTCTTTGATTCTCTCGCAAGTGTCAACCACCGTGAATTTCAGACCCCCAGCAGCGCCTCCGCTTCCTCCGGCACCCTGAGACAGAAAAGGAATGCGAGATTCGATTAGCCGCCTGTGTGGAAACTGTCGAGACAAGTACAGGTATAAAGGATCCGCAAACCGCTTAGAATGCCTCGATACGATTTAACCCTTTCGTTACCTTGGACGAGATATCTCGCGACCCAATACTGGCCGATTAACGCTTTTGACGAGATATCTCGCGACCCGATACTGGCCGATCAACGCTTTTGATGAGATATCTCGCAATCCGGTAGTAGCGGATTAACGCTTTTGACGATAATCTAGCTTCCTAGCATTAATCTTTTGACATTCTAGACAAATTATTTTGTGTTCTGCCTTTGAGTTTTTATGTCGCTTATGGTATGTCTTGAGCATTCATCTAGAATGTCAAAATATTGGTGCTAGAAAGCTAGATTATCGTCACAAGCGTTAATCTGCTACTACCGAATCGCGAGATATCTCGTCAAAAGCGTTGATCGGCCAGTATCGGGTCGCGAGATATCTCGTCAAAAGCGTTAATCGGCCAGTATTGGGTCGCGAGATATCTCGTCCAAGGTAACGAAAGGGTTAATACGGCATCCTGACAGGGATCATAGAGAAATTGGAAATGCGAGGCACATTTTGCGGCTCATTTTCTTGACACCTGACGATAAACGAAAAGGAAAGGTCCACGTTTTCTTGAATCATGAGAAACATTCCGGGTCGACGTATTATAACAAAACAGGGTAAAAGTGAAATAACGAAACTGTACTTGTTGTTTGTGCTTAGGAGGTTTAAAAAATGTTTTGCAAAAGTGAAATAGCATGTTATAAGGTTTTAAATAAGGTTGCTCGTTGAACGATCGCGAGGTTTCTTATTTCACGGTATAATTTGTTCATTTAAAAAAAAATGACTTGTTCGTTCGAACCATGGCTGTTTGTTTAAATGAATGCATAGACGGTAATTTCCGCATGAAGCGTTTTGAATAACGTAAGAAACCCGTCAGAAGAAAAATCAGTTTAACTAGATTTGACAGAAAATGTAATTGAACCGTGGGATATAGCTATTCCATCTTTGAATAAGTAATACATTTTAGCTTTTTCTTAAGCGTGCCCTCCCTAAACACAAGATGTGCTCGACACAAGAGATGTGCTCAACGCAAGCCGCGTGCCAATTAAGCGACGAACAATTGTAAGGAAGCAATTACCGGTCGCGTAGCGCCTGCGCAAGTATTCCGTCATCTTAATTAAGAGCGGAATTTAAATGCAATAAAACGAGCCGTGCCCTCAAATTAAACCCAGCGAACCCATTTTCCGAATTTTAACAACAATTTCGTTACCTTCCCCTTGGCGGTATTATTTCTCAATTTTACAAAAAATCCCACTCCACTGGCATGAAATTATCCAGAACGATGAAGTCATTTCTCCCATTCCGCGGAATCCTTTTTGTTCTTTGCACTGCACGCTAGAAGGCGAACAGCTCCTAGTAGATCTGATTAATCGTTTTTAAACCAGACTTCTACCGGGATAAAGCGTACGGAGGGATGCAGCTTCGCGTTACGTTGTTCTAGTTGAGAATCGAGGACTTCCTTCGTTCGTTGTAAAAAGCAGAGTGTCCTTTTTGGCGTCACGCAAGGACTCGCGGTGCCTCAGAAAATGTTGCCGCGTTGTGGAAGGGATACAAATTTTTTCCAAGTTTCACGTGATTGGTTCGTTGGCGGAGATGCCGAAAAAAGTCGCCTCCCACGACCTCGGCAGCGAGGGTAGCAAAAGGGTAGCCAGATCGAGTACGGCCTGACCATGCCTTTGTAAGATCACGTACCGTCCGAGGGTATTTTTTATGGTCTTGTTTACCCAACCCTTCGCGAAAGTTCGGTTCCCTCGCACAAAGGCAAACAACATTTCGCGGCCAAATGCACACCGTGAGAACGCGGAGAAAGTCAAAATTTCCAGGCTGGTACGAGGTCTCGTGAAGTTATAACTATGTACTCTAATTACTACAAGCATTTTTCTTACGGACGTAACTGTTGGATCGTTGTAAAACTAGGTGAGGTCGCCTTAATAACGGTAGCCTAACAATGCAAACTACCGTATGACAAATCGAATGCAAGAGTCGATCGGACAGAATACGTCGATCAAACGTTTGAGTGCGTATAAAATGTTCATTCGGTGTATGAATCCGAGAACTTAATTAATGAAATCGCGGTCCTAATTATTGACAAATGGTCGGTATGTTTCGGTGATGGTCGAATGATTCAACGGTAACACTTTTCTCGAGGAAGCTCAACCGGGAATTCTTTTATCGGAGCGACGTAAGACGTATTTGTCTCGTTGCGTTACTTCGGTTGTTCCTTATCGCCTTGTTAGAGGCAATTCAGTCCGGCGCAAGAAATTAATTGGAACCCAATGACTTCGGCTGCCGAAGACACGACTTTCCGCGAGTCTCCCGCATTCTTTTTCCGCCGGGCGAAGAAACGACGTTTAAGAAGCAGACCCGGAAGCACCGGGACTCCCGGTGGACAACTTCTTCCTCGAGTTTCATGGCCGCGGGAAAGAGGGCGAAAGAACGGGATGCCGGGGAACTTTGCCAAGAGTTCCTCGGGTCATTAAGGCGTCGCCGATCGTGCGACTCCGCCAGAGAGGGATCACCTGCGAATCGGACTTTTTCTCGCCGACGCTTATAAAAAACGGCATTTGAAAATATTCTGGCAAATTCAACGATAGCTGCGTCGCTAATTGACCCGCTACGCAGAGTTTGGTAATTCCCCATTTGTCGAGGTTTTTGACGTACATTACGGGAACAAAGTAGTTTACCGGAGAAAATCGTTAAAAAACCAGTAAACCACGTTTCCGATATGAAGAATTCCGTAGATGGACGATATACAGCATCGGCTAGGTTATAAACGTGTTTTAGCACATATGTAAACACGGAAATATTTTAAGGAACAATTAATTAATTTGGCGCTTGTATGGCAATTCAATCACTGCGTCGCTAATTGAGCCGCTACGCAGAGTTTGGTAATTCCCCATTTGTCGAGGGTTTTGACGTACATTATGGGAGCAAAGTAGTTTACCGGATAAAATCGTAAAAAACCAGTAAACTACGTTTCCAATATAAAGAATTACGTAGATGGACGATATGCAGCATCGACTAGGTTATAAACGTGTTTTAGCACATATGTAAACACGGAAATATTTTAAGGAACAATTAATTAATTTGGCGCTTGTATGGCAATTCAATCGCTGCGTCGCTATTTGAGCCGCTACGCAGAGTTTAGTAATTCCCTATTTATCGAGGTTTTTGACGTACATTACGGGAGCAAAGTAGTTTACCGGAGAAAATCGTAAAAAACCAGTAAACTACGTTTCCAATATGAAGAATTCCGTAGATGGACGATATGCAGCATCAGCTAGGTTATAAACGTCTTTTAGCACATACGTAAACACGGAAATATTATAAAGAACAATTAATTAATTTGGCGCATGTATTCAGAATTGTTTAGAAGCATACGTTTCCAATATGGCGGATTCCGCAGATGCATGCTATATGTATTCGCAATGGTTAACGTCTTTTAGCGCATATGTAAATATGTAAAAAGTGTTAAGGAATGATTAATCTACCGCTTGGGTTTAAAATTCTATCGATTTAACCCTGTTTAGTATCAACTTTCTCCCTAGATTGATTATTTTTTATTTAGAAATAGAGGAGCGTAATATACTTTGCGCTCGCGTAGAAAATTAGAAACGTATTATACGTTGTAATATACACGTAGAAAACCCCGTATATTACATGACGTATTATACTTATCCTACCCTGCCGCTACGTCATCGTCAAAACGGATAATCAGTTATCTAATTAACATCGCATATGACTGATACCATCGTAACAGGGCAATCCGCCAAGGACGGATTGCATTTGCGTTATATGGATTACCTAACATTCGTACCGGGAATGTCTTTCAAATTATCAGTTAATGATTACGGTGTCGTATGAAATGGGATTATTATTCCGAGGAGTATATCTTGCATTTTTTTTAACTTTAGTTCAGGTTTGCCGAACTGTGTGGTTGAGGTAGGTATTACATTGTAAAAGACTGTTCCGTGCGCGACACTCATGTATTTAAATTCATCGCGGCTTTTGAAATGTCAGACAAATTTCCAGAAAGGGACTTACTGCCTGCTTGGGCCCATCGGGCCATTTATCAATTTAGCAATTTCCTGATTCCGAAACCCGTTCGTAAATTTTAGTTTCCTACGATACTGTTATATTGCCCCGTACGTCCCATCGCGAAGGTTTAGGGTTCTTTAGAATTTTCTCGGGTTGTCCGTCCCTATTCTTTACCGTCATACCTTCTTTAACTTTACCGCTAACCGTGCGCGCAACGTGCACACGGGCATACAGCATGTTTTTCCGTTTCCACGGCAACTAGAAATTTTCCGTTTTCATCCAATCGTATTGGACAGCTATCGACCAATCACGAGGCCTATTCGATTTTAACCGCCTTTCTTAACCCTTTTAGTGCCGGGCGAAAAAGAGGTGCTTATGCGAAGATAACCGGCCGAATTTTACGATTTTACTAGGATTTGGAAAAAGGCTCATAAAAACCATACGAAAAGCAATATTTACATAATTCAAAAAGCAGGGTATTAAGGACAAAATAGGGAATAAAACAGTGACGCTAATTTTTCTATATTCATTGAAAATTACATAAATACCAAAGTATACGTGATCAAAAGAAAAGGAAAATTGAGTTCTCTGTTTCAAAACGTAATTGCACATAGGAAAAGTCATCTTTTTATCATACATTTATATAAACCGCTTATTGCAAAGTATATACTTTAAATTTCCAATATATTTTTTAACAAAATAAGTAATGTTGCACAAGAAACATAAAAAATAACTCCAAGGCACATGGTAGGCGCCGGACGGATTATCTCATCCGAAACAAGTAATTGTTATAGGTTATAGGTTGTTATAGGTATTGTTGTATCGTTATTTTAATTCTCTCGTAATGAAATTAGACTATTTATAACGTA